GCTAACTATATTAAAACAAAGATTATATTGTACAGTAGCCAGCTAAAACAATATTCCCAGTCTAACTTAGATTATTCTCGTAGAATCATGTAACCTCTGAGCGACCATTTGTCTCGTACGATTGGTACAGTATTGATATATGAGTAACTTCAACCATCGAAACACTATTTTTTTACGGAAGTCAAGAAACATTTCGTCATAATCGTAAAACAATGTCGGATTTGAAAAAAAAAAACAAAATCCTCTTTTTATCATATTTGGATACTACATTAACTAAATATTACGGCTACATTAAAAAAAAATCCTATTTATTTTAAATTTCATATTAATCAGTGGTCAGTAAACGTTACATGGCTGCCCTGTAACGTTTACGATTTGTTAGCCGTTTCCCCAGGTTACAAACATATTGGTAATAAAGAATTCCGTATTTTTAGTTTACTTTTGTAACAAATGATGCCCCTCCCCAAGATCTATCAAATCTTAACTTTCAATAGTATTGCTAGGCTAATGAAGAACTTGAATAATTGCTTAACTCAAGTTACCGAATGGCAACTGCATTCTTCTAACCAGTTGACCACCTTGAACGCTTAGTATTGCATTGTCAAATTATAGCTTATACTGAAAGTCAATAGAACATATAATACATGTTTTGAATAAGAATTTATTTCAAGTTAAAACCATAACTAATTTTGTAATTATATAAATAGGTCGTCGCTAAAATTAAATGTAAAATTTCTGAAAGAGATTTCTTTAAAGGAATGCGAAGATAAGTGTACTACCAAGAGTCAAACGATTATAATTACACTTGTTTTCGTAATTAGCAATTCCGTGGGGTCGGAGTCCTCGGAAGCCCTTCTCGTTATATAACGTTCAAGCTTAGAGCAACAGAAACCTTGGGCAAACACGCCCTACATTACGCGGTAATAATATTCTTAAATATTTACCGCCGGATAGAAACCGCTACTTCCTCCTTGCAATTTCTGTCTAGTTGCTTTCGTATATAGTTTTTGGTCTTTTTAAATATGTATTACTAGAGATTACGTATAAAAAAAGGGAACATAGATTCTGGTCATGATACAATATATTCAAAACATATTCTTTTAAATTAAAGCTAATTCCTGTCTAGTAAAATTTTATTCATATGCCATAGTCTCAGTAAGGCAGCCTTCTGTCCGGATCGAAACAGTTATTGTTTCGCCGAGAATCAAACTCGTTTAGTATTCGCCACGTTGATGTAAAAGTATAATAATATATAATATACTCACGGCTTAGTATCCTCCATTAAATACAAAACTAAATATTTTCCCAAGAATGGAATGCTGATTTTCACAAGAACCTTCTTAGTCATTATAAATTTAAATATGTAATAAAAAGATTTCTATTGAATTATGAATAAATTAGTTCAGGTGTACAATGTATTGTTTCGTTCACTAGTATGAAACTTAATATTGTGTCGCAATAACTTTATGCTCACAATGTAAATTATTGCTTACGTAATAAAATTAATTCATTTACATAACAAAAACATAAGCATATGCAAAAATGCTTACATATGTAATATAATTCAGCATTTTCCAGTCACAGCCTATCTACTATCTCTACGAAAGTAGTATAGACTATTTATTTAATAAAATAAGCCACCATTACAGATAACTCCAATGAGGTAAGTATACACAAACGTACATAGAGTATTTAAAAAGACTAACTATTTCTTACTGTATAGGAACTGACATGAAGCAAACCTTTTGTCAATTCACTCAACGGACAATTAAAACGCCTGTTAATCTATGCAGTTCATTAATTATTTTCATACTTTGTGCCGAGAGGTGAGTTTTCGCTGAGGGTACGAAAAGTAACGGCATCAGGCACTTTGAAGCCTAGGCACTGGAGCACTGCTGGATTGTTTTCCTTTCCACGTAACAACTTTTCCAGATACATGGTAAGAACAGAACAACTAGAATTAATATACAACATAATATGTATGATTAAAATAACACATTCCTTGTATAAGTATCGCTTGTGGAATTATTTTGCATTTAAGATGAAATATATTAGAAGGGATACGAATATAATCAATTTAGCACAGAGCCTGTTTTCAATCAAGATCTTGATTGATAGGTCTTAAGGATATTATTATTAGGTACTTTGTAAAGGTTGCTATGATTGCAAACCTCTAGTGCTATGTTCTGAGGTTATATATATTTTTTATACTATATTATCAAAAGATTTCTGTTCGAAGTATTTCAGGTTTGATCTCTCAAATGCGAGATAAAGGATATCCTTTATTAAAAACTTATTTTGATTTCTAATAATAATAATATATCTTTCTTACTTTCCAAAACTGTAGAAAAACAAATGACATTATTGCATTTTATATTTAGGAATGACCTATCTGTTTTGGGGTGATGAGAATTTCTTCCGACGTACATTACGAAGAAAAAATTATGAATAAAAATTACAAAACAAGAACTCAAAACGAAGCATATGGCCAAAATTACCAATACAAACGTATGCACGCGAGCGAAAATGTTTGGTCTCCTGTCTCCGTAAATCAATCTCACATCACATGATAACCAAAAAAATCCTGTAGCACCGTAATCGAACTGTGCTATTTTTTAGTGTTCTATAGAAAATTATACATAATTTTTGCAACGCGCATAAGGTGAACAGCCGAGTAGTGATTTAATGAACTAGATCGTCGCGCGCATCAATTAAGGCCACTTTATGTAAATATGCGACCATTTTTCAACGACTTCACCACAGAAAATCGAGTACCAGCTAATTTCACCGTTATAGATATATATGTATATATATCATGTTATTTTAAATTACTTATTTTTGTCATGTCTAATATTGATTGTTTGGACAAACATTATTACAGAATGGCAACCACGAGAGGGAAAAAGGAAAAGAGAAAGACGGAACAAGGGATGGGCAGACGATATAAAGAGAATAGGAGGCACGACTTGGACAAGAAGAGCTAACATTAGAAAATAATGGAAGCAGCTTGAAGAGCCCTATGTGTGACAGGACATGTCGATCACCAAAACCGGTAATATGATGTATGTATTAGATTAAGTTAGTTTTTGTAACTAAAATAAAAGTTTATATATACTGGGTGTCAGCAATAAAGGCTTAATAATAATATTAATTGTTTACGATATTCTCTTGGGATAAATGTAGCATTTATGAGTTCCCTAATAGATTATCAGTTTCATATTCATTTTCTAATGTCTTTATTAGACTGAGAGTCTTAATTATTTATTTCATAATACAATCCTAAAAATTATATATGCGATTTTAATAAATATGTTTTATATGAACCAGTTCCATATACTTCTATGATTAAATATAATATCAAGAATCCTTAAATGTTAACACATAAATGTTTGTACTGGATAATGTGCTTCTTTCTGCATATGTTATGTCTGTATGTATTTTTGGCATAAGCTGTAAATGAATAAATTAAAAACAACACGTATTTTATCAATTATTATCAATACCATTTTATTCTTATATATAATCGTATGTGTTCCGTTAAACAAGTTTCGAAACATAACATTAATTGTTGTTTTCGCAGCCAATGAAGTTTTCCGCCAAACAATGTTTCATGTTTCTAAACACGACACAAGCTGAACAATTTAGTTCGCTCATTTAACACGCCACAGTTAATTGAAATATATTTAAACCTTGAATTTTCTTCATTAATATTGTGTTAAGTAGACAATAGTTTAATATTAATTCGGCTTTTAAATAATACTTCCTTAAAAGCGAGATATACATACAAAACTTGTAAATTGTGTGATAAATTCGCGTTTATTTGGAGTTAAAGAAATTTTATTTAAAACTGTAGTATGCGTAACTAACAACAATATCCAACTCTTTAAGCAAATGGACGGTTGAAAAATTCCCTGTATTTTTAACTTCACAATTTTTATCGTAATTAGTTTTAGTTTCGTCGGGAACGAAAAAAATTGGAAAATAGATGAGGAAAATCCGCATAAAAATTAAAAATACAAATAACCTAATGATATAAGGCTATTGGTATTTTTTAATATTCAGGAAATCCAACAATAATTATAAAACGCAACATATTATATACTAATGTGTATAAATGCGATACTCGATATTAATTTCCACGTCTAATTAAGGCAGCATATCACTATTGTTTATTTACATTACCCAGAGGACAATTAAACAAATGACGATCCCTTTAGTATGCCACAGAGGGCTGACCTTGGAAAGTGATGTCATTAATATGCGTTTTGCGCTTGAAGACTCCTAAATGCTTCTAGAATATGGAAGCTGATGAATTTAAAAGATAAGATCGAATCTATTGATTAAACGGTTATAAAATTGTATTGTATGTAATTTAAAAGGCCTCGAAGAGTTGGTTTAATTACAACTTTTGCCGTTGCCGCCTAGGAAATAAGCAGGGTGTTAGTCACACACTCAAAAGTGAATCATGAGTGCCGAGATTAAAAGTAAGAGTGTAAGTTCTGATAAGCTAATGAAACTAATATCAACGATAAAAGTCTAAAAATACATACGGCCTCTGTTTCACTTGATACCTCTGACGCATTGTTGAGTATATTCCCCAAACATATAAAACCACACGACACAGTGCAATACTCCAGTTACTATAATCACTTAGGATTATTTTAATGTTAAATTTGCTTCATTTTGGTCCAGGATGTTTTAATTAAACGTGTGACAGTTTGTCGGTTGGGCGCTCGACTGGATCGGTGCGCTTGCGCACCTCGCGGTAACACAATTTTATAACGTGTATCACACAGCGTGCAATAAATTTATGCAAATTACGGGATGGGACTGGATAATTGGCAAAGTTTAGGAATCTTAACACCTAAAGTAATCGACCTAACTGCTCCCAAAAATTATGTGAAATGGTATTTTTTAACTTGGGAAGAGATAGAGAGCTTACGTAGCATGTCTGCGTCTGTTTCAATGGTCCTCTTTTATGCACCAAATTTAGCAACTTTCTAGAAGACGTCTTTTATTTCTGGATCTAAGACGGACGCACTATATATTTGAATATTTCCTTCACCCGTAAGGCTGATAGGAACTATAAAACCAAAACACAATTGGTGCACCCGAGGTTTAATCAGACAACCCCAGGTTTGAGAGTCGCTTAGCCACTTGGCCCTGATAAAAAAAATATGTTTATTATGGAACATAAGATACATGTATCACTTATTCCACGTCATTAAATTTGAATTTGTAGGCATCCCTACTCATCGGCAAAGAAGACAGAGGGTGTAGGCCGAGAGAAAAAGCCGGCGTAAAAAACTCTCGGTACTCTTTTAATGCGATAAATATATAAGTAAAATATGCTTTTAATTTATATTTTCGAAAGCTTTCCAGAAGTAAAGAAGGTTTGAGAGATTGTCGATTAGATAACCGATACGTGTAGAAACCACAACAGACAACGAACGAAAAACCTTACTAGGTGCTGTGAAGTCGAGGTAAAAACAATCTAGCCCATGTTGTGAAGCAGGTAGTGATATAAATCATTGAAAGTGGAGCACTGTCACAACCGATAGATCGTAATTGGGCGCTTGACGCGGTCTGTTGATTCTGTTAAGACTTTATTACTCTACCTTCCTTCAAGTTCGTGAGTTACGAATAAAATGTGGTACCACGTTTTATTGAACCGCCTAAGAGTTTTCCAAATGGAATTGGTTTTTTTCATCCATAATTTAATAGTCTTTTTATAGATTTGCCGGTATCGATATTTAAATAAATATCGTTGGTGAAAAAAATATTGAAATTTATATTTTTTTTTATAATATTAATAAAAAACTTTTATTTCAGATATTTAACATTTGAATACATTTATGTTTATTATATTTATTAATGTTTCTCCATTCTCCAAGTACCGTCATTTCTGTATGCACTTTGCCACTCTCTGTCATGTACCACCTGCTATTTCCTTAATCTGGTCTATCTATACTACGTATATATTTAGATATACTTTATATAATGAATTTCTTAAAATAAGTGAACAAACGGTTATAAAAAAATAAATAAAATATGTTTATTATGGAACATAAGATACATGTATCACTTATTCCACGTCATTAAATTTGAAGGCATCCCTACTCATCGGCAAAGAAGACAGAGGGTGTAGGCCGAGAGAAAAAGCCGGCGTAAAAAACTCTCGGTACTCTTTTAAAACAGCAAATCATCAAACAACACTTATTTAAAACAAATATCGCGGTTGATTATAAAATAAGAACAAAAACTTCCTAATGAGCAGTAATTAGCTTCTATCTTAGCCTCGTTTGTTTTATCGGGCTCTTACACTTCATTGCGTAAACATGGCGTGACATAGACAAACTAATTTTAACATATAATGTATCGCCCCAGCTTCCCTTCTTCTTCTTAAGTCTTATATGTTTCCATATAATTCAAACCCATAGTTAAGATATTTGAGCAGTGTTGGCTTAGTGGATTCAGCGTGCTCTCATCCTCGAGGTCGTAGGTTTGACCCCCGGGAGTGTACCAATGGAATTTCTTTCTATGTGCGCATTTAACATTCGCTCGAATGGTGAAGGAAAACGTCGTGAGGAAACCGGCTTGTCTTAGACCCAAAAAGTCTACGGCGTGTGTCAGGCACAGGAGGCTGATCACCTACTTGCCTATTAGATTGACAAATGATCATGAAACAGATACAAAATCTGAGGCCCAGACCTAAAAAGGTTGTAGCGCCACTGGTTTGCTTTTGTTTTTTTAGTTAAGATATTCTGTTATAATACAACTTTTATTATCCATTACCTGAATGTTCTCCTAAGTCAACTTGAAACCAGCCTAGCATATTCGTACACTAGCTGGCTGTCTTTAAATAAAATATAGTATATGTATGTAAATGCTCTTAAATATTTTTGTATGTCTACATTACACAAAATCGGTGTTGTAATTCTACATGTTAAGAAGTAACTAAAAAGTATACTTAAATTACGGAGAATCGCTTTTTTATTATATATTTTTTAATTGTGACATATTTTTACTGTATATCCTATCTGTATACGTTGACATATAACAACGTAGCTAATCCATGGCTGAGTATAGTATCAATCAAAGACCAAGCCTTGAGAAGTTCCTTTCATTGACGAACAAGTTACAATCTTAAGTGAGGAAGTCAACATTATTTGTACGCAATAAAGTTATTTCTCGTTATTAAGGTATTTATAGTGAAAGTAAGAAATAAAATTACAACTGTTAATCGTGGAAAGTTGGTAATAAAGTGCCTACGATTGTTATCCTCGCGGGTCATTGACATTTTCAATGTGAAAGACGATTTTCCAAATGATGAAGGCTGCTCTGTATGACAAAATACTAATCAGCAAGATACCAAGTACATAGTACGTTCATCATACACCAAACATTCCACACGTTTATTGGGGTACTTTAAACACGAGTTTAGTTCGCTTCTGTCAACCAGTAATGAGTTATCGATTTTGATGTCTTTTTTACGGAAGCAATGGTTTTTCCACGATGAAAGTTCGTTATTACTATATTTATTCTACGTGTTAATTATTGGAACCCTAGCGTTAATGACACTTTCCGGAATGACAATTTATATTTTCTCCTTTTTCACACTATACATTTAGGTCTGTACCCACGGTTTAGGAAATGTATAAAAAATGTTTACATTAGAAATATAGCTACATTGGCATTGTCCTGTAGCTAATTGAATCAAGGCCTAGCTAGTAATAGACGATTGTCTTGAAACTTGATTCTAAAGTGAATAAATGGTTTATTTACGTAGTATGTATATTGTACATATATATATACTACAAGCACCATACTAAACAAGCCTTTACTAGGATTTTTTAACTCTTTAAAATTAGTTAGATTTTACAGATGTCGTGTTTATATGATTATATTTCGTAAAAATTCAAATTGTGTCGCTTACATGTCGTGTCTGAACGTTGAAATATAAAAAAAATCCACGGAAACATTATCAACTATAATGAAAATTAAAATAATGTAAATGAGTACTATGTTCTATATAGGGAAACCAAAATTAGCTGTTTTAAAAAATTCATACAAGATTGAATTACTTTAAATCGTCAACACTTAAATTACACAATGTAAAAAAAATTAAAAGATCTAAAGTGATTAAAAAACGTTAAGGTAGGATAAATTCGAGTAATATTTGAAATTGTTTCCCTTGTTCATAAAATACATATTAATGTCAAGTTGCACCGATTTAACCAAAGTAGTAACCGAGTAGGTAAATCGTATGTCTCTTTTCATCACGGCGTAAACGCAATTTGACAGAAAAAGACGAAGGAGTACTCCAAACATTTCTTCACTAATATGTTTTTTTTTAAATCGAATTGTCCCGACGAAATACGCTCAAAAAGCGTAATTAAGTTTTTATTAGAGTAAATAACGGTTAATTAACTAAAATAACAGCAGGGTCGCGTCTGCGCCTGTTATATTCAATAAATGGCATCAATTTCATCCCATTTCCTGTGCTCCCAACGCTCCCACTGCATTACTAGATTTAATACAACTTGGAGGTCGAATGGACCCGCATTAGCTCGCCAATTGACTAATTTGTCATTGATAAATCACTAATTTATAACTTCTTGGAATAACACGATACTTTGCAAATAAATTAGGAATTTAAGTACATAGTTAGCTAATAATATAATGGAAATTATTTTTGTAATGTGGCAACGTCGATGAATTACGAATAATTGACCCATAAAGCGTTTTATTTAAGAATAGCTTCTAAATATAAGTTAAATATTAAAGAAATACGATTGTTAACATAGCGGCTTCTTAAAAAACAAATTTATATTTTAATCCACGATTATTCTACATGTACAAAAGAAGGCTTAAAAGCTAGTCGGTAAAAGTTCACTTTAACTGTCATTCATATTCACATTTTGTTATTGAAAACATAAGTAACTCTCTCACAATTCTATTTAAAAGTTCGAAATGCCTGTGTATGTGAACAGCTAACACCTTAAAACAATACTATTCCGTGAATGTAAACTAGGTAATTAAATAAAAAATACTTACGGTATATTTTTTCTAGCCATTTTAGTTTATTTTGTATTTAACCACGTAACTTAAGTAAAATTTGTAACTACACAAATCACTAGGGTTCGAAAAGTAAAAGTTCGTAAAGAAATTGCCGACAACCGATCACATGAGTACGTTTCCCGCCACTATCATGTCAACTCACAACTCGGAGATTTCGTTTCGGCTTCGACGTGATGTGCGCCCTACTTCGACTAATAAAACAAGTCTGACGCCTAATAAAAAATAATTGCAATCTCATATAAATATTAATAAATATAAACTATATTATTACATATTAATTATGGATTAATATATGTTTAAAAATTAAATTAATATAAATAAAAAGAATAACATAATAGATTTCCTACATAAATCTTCCAGTATACAGTTTATTGCATTACGCGCCATCTGTTGTTAAATAATGAAACTCAATCAATGAAATCAATTTATTAGGTTTGTGAGTTTAATGATAGATGACAGTAATTTTTAAAGTTAAAGTATTGTACAGGATTAATTCACTTACAGGATATAATATATCCTAAAAGTAATTACTCCATATTATGGAGTAATTACTTTTATGTGTTTATTACATTGATTCTTTGAGGTAAATACCTTATTAGCCTATGCTTACAAACCCCAAAATAAGTATGTAATTGCGGAACATCGAACCTCCGAAGGCCTTTAGGTCCATTATGTGCAAAAACTAATAAGCCATAGGGGCGGAACAGGTGATGAACGGACGAACGGAAAGAAACTTTTACATTCATATTTTGTATCGGTTATTTTAGCTTTATATGGCGTATTCTTGCTCTTTCGCGAATTTTGTAAACGTTTTTGACATTCATAAGCATGCCCTAAGACGCATGTAAATTGAATAAACGTATTTTGATTTTTGATAATTAACAATATTCTTATAATTGAAACATTGATTAGTTCGTTAGTCTTTTTTTTACTGAGGTTTTGTTATTTTTTTTTTCAAATAAAATAATATTAATTACTTACCGGTAAATTGATACATAAGAAATAATCAGCATTGGTACATGCCTTGTTAGCCTCTGTTTTGAATCGATTCAGTGATTTAGGAATGATGTCGGGGTCGGTATTAGATATCACTCATGTCTTAATTAAAATCTACTTTGCGTATTTTGTACTTTAGTAGTAATATATACGCCTTACTGAAATAACTTTTGGTCACAAATTCTGTAATAGTCAATAGATTTTACTTACTTCTTGACGTGGTTGTGGTTTGCTTCAGGGTGTGAGATGGTGGAGGGGGGTGGCGGGAGGTCGTCCATCGGCACCTCTTCGTTTGGAGGCGAAGGAGGCGACTTGTCGAACTCCGCAATGGGTGCTAATTCTGGCATCGGCGACACCGAGTTGCTGTCCATCGCAGATAACTTTATTGGAGACACTTTGGCAACTTTTGTATACCTCTAACCTCCGCTTACCGGAGGGTTAAATCTAGATTATTGGCTTCTAGACTGAAGAGGGAGGGATTATCTAGTCACGATGAATATCGTCAAAATTTCGTCGTGTAGCAGGCACCTAAGGAATGGAATTAGTTCGCGTTATCTCTCGAAACCTACTTCTTATTGGGCATTTTTAAATGTTAATAGAGTAAAGTAGTTATCGTAGTTTAAGTTAAATGGTTCCATTTTCCAATTCTAGACATTTTAAAGCCGAGTAATCGACGGTGCCCATCAACACGGAAGGACAATGTCCTGCACCCTAACAAACATTATTTATTTGATGTGCCACGAGGGGAAATGTTTGGTGTATTCATCAAATTATAAATGCATGACCATAAATACATTATCGCGTTAGATATTGGTTTATCGTTAGGGTGTTAACCTATGAAAAAGTAAATTGCATTTTCATTGTTGAATGTTGTAGTTGTATGTCATATTATGCTGATTTACTTCGACTGTTTGATTATTTTTACTGCCAAAATATGCTCACTAATAATATAAAGAGTATTTTAGTTCTTCTAAATCGTCTAACAAAATGTATTAGCCATAAAATAGAAATCCAGGAGTACCATACATTACATTACCTAATGCAGGCACGTATCCCAGAGGAAACCGCAAACCCGAATTCGTGCCATTGGAGTCTGTAACAAATTACCGTGACCGGTGGAGTAGTTCTCTAATGAAGTAATGAACTATCTCCGAGTGGAGTTCAGAATTTATATATTGCGAGAATACAATTCGTAGATTAGCGTTGTTGATGTTGGATTTTCTAAAATCGTTTTGTATTTAGTCACCGTAAATCCATTATTATATAACTGCATATAAAATATTTTTATGACAATTAGATCGTATTAGAGTTTATAGGCCAGTCATTATAGACATTCGAAATCGAAAATTTGATAATAATTCCAAAAGTTTTCAAACTTCGGTCAAGTGAATGGTACATTGGGACGACAATAAATCTCATTTTGCAACCTTGTCCGCAGTCCGGAACATTGTTAAAATTGCAATTAAATTAATTTTATGTCTGTATGGTCGTGAAAAAAATTCCAAAAGTTCTGCAAACTTGGGGAAGTTTTCGATATAATATTTCATATCACGTATAAAATTTGCAACCAACCTAAGTGTACGGAACATTTTTTGTTATTTATTTTATTTTCGATATATCTGTCAAATTTGCAGAACTTTTGGAACGTTTTCCTTCAGTTTAATAAAGAACAACATTAATTAAATAATGTTCCGTACACTTAAATTGGTTGCAAATTTGACACGTGATGTAAAATAATATATTTAACACCACTCCAACTTTGCAGAACTTTTGGAATTTTGGTCTCAAGAACTAAGCAAATTATCATTTATTGCATTTTTAACAATGTTCCGGACCGCAGAGCAGGTTGCAAAATTTTATAGTTTGTTTTAATACCACTCCCGACCTTACATCAAAATTTGAAAACTTTTGGAATTATTATGAATTAATTGTCTTGACTGACTGGTCTATTAACTATATCAAAACTATTAACAATTACTTAAATCGCGATATTTTATAACTCCAAGCAGGGTATGGGACCTAACTATAATCGCTTCACTGGTAAACAAACTCTGAACCTATTGTTATTGGGTTGTATTTAAAAGAGTCGCTATCATACATTAAACAACAATAAAAACTGCATCATTATTTTTCTATATATTTGTAAGTAAATAGTACTGTCAGAAGAGGCAAATGTAAACAGAGACTAAAGTATGTTCCGCTCATCAAGTCTATCGCAAATTGCGGCTTTTATATTTGCTTGGACCCGTATACGCCTCTCTTACAGCACGTAATTTCCGGTTTCCTATTTCATTAGAGATTCATATCCAATCAAATCGATGTTGTCATATTAGATTACTAAGCGTTCAATGGAGAGTAAATTATTGAATTAATCTATGAGTACAACAGGTAAAACATATCGATAATACTAGCTAATCGACCAAAGGAATTATTTAATGGATAAGGTTGAATAATACAAACAGTTATTAATGTTGTACTACATGCATACATGCATGCACAAGTGAAAAAATATTTTAAATTAGAAACAATTTAAATAAAAACTATATTTAAACTAAATATCTACATTGTTAAGATAATATTATAAATATTATTAGGAGAATCTAAATTTAATAGAAATGTGAACGTTTGCACGATATAAATTTCGTTTTTAGAACAATGTTTTAAATTAAGTTAAGAAAATTAAATAAAGCTGAAATATTCATCAGATGAGATAAATTCTAAAGAGACTTAAATTACTCTCGTGAAAAATTTGGGAATTGGGACACTCAAATTACGGAGATATTAATATGGCGAATGGCTTAGCGAGGCTAAGTTACTGCGTATAATGCTGACTGCACATGAGACGAGATTAAAGATGCAATATGTAGTTTATATTTGAGCTTATAACATATATAGCTGTGTATTAATTTCATTATTATTATAAGCAAGTTGATACATTGAAATAATTAGTCCAGGCGTAATTATCTTTTTCAATCCAATCAGAAGGAAAAATAATCGTTTCGTTCGTTCAGGCATTAAATATCATATTAGATTATTTTATAGAAATCTCTGAGTACGGTTACTACAAGCTACCTTAGGGTTAAGAGAACTTTAAGGAGATTCGGAAACACAAATATTTCGCCTTTATCGTAATAGAATATAAGATGCGATGATGTCGGTATACTAAGGGAAAACTACTAAAGGTAATTAATATTACTCATAATTATAATGATGTAACTGGAACTGCATTTCCTTCGCTTTTCTTATATAATAATAATTGCATAATTTTACATATTTTACAGCTGTCCGTATAATTAAAAAGTGATAAATCATAAATCAAGATTGATAAAAGCCAACTTCTTGTGTGTGTATTCAGCTGCTTTTCTGCAGTTTATTTTTTTAAATCTTAAACCAACTTCTTAAAATTATATATACTGCTCAAAACAATTAGCGGAACAAGATATTTCTCCTTTCTATTGCTTAAACTAAAATTAGATTTAAATTAACTTGTACGCTATTTTTTACCTTGTTAATTTGTTAATTACTACAATTAATAAAAAAAATCAATTTGTATTTTTTTTATTTAAAAAAAATTAAAATGTGCATTGTAGACGAAAAACAAAGTGACGTCTTTGAATTTTCATTACTTTCTAATCACAGAAAACACATTTTAAGTAGTTTTTTTCAATCTTTTGAGTATTAATAGAAATTGAAGTGAGCCTTTTGAGTATTGTTATTCATTGAAGCGAGTGAGTTTAGGTCATAATGCCAGATCTGACTGAATTGCATGTCTCCCGAGCTATCGCTTTGCTTGAAGAGGGTCGAACTATGCGTTATGTAGGAAATGATCTAGGAGTAGCCCCTTCTGTTATCTACAGACTTTGGAAGCGATACCGTGAGACGGGAGAATACTCACGAAGGCGTGGTCAAGGTCGAAAGAGAAAAACTACACGTTTGCAAGATCGCTACATCGTCAACTGTGCTTTACGTAACCGCACCACAACTGCAAGAGATCTACAAAATACACTAAGGACGGCTACTGGTGTAGAAATTTCCGGTAAGAAATAGGTTGTTGGAAGCCAATTTGAGATCACGCCGACCAGTTCGGGCTGTGCGTCTAACAATTCAACATAGACAAGCTCGCCGACAGTTCGCGCAAAATCACGCTAATTGTCAACTTCGACATTGGAGGCCAGTGCTTTTTACTGACGAATCACGATTCCGTCTAACACGTTGCGATGGTCGTATCCGTGTTTACAGACGCCCAGGCGAGCGATACAGTGCAGCAGCAGTCCAGGAATATGACAAATTTGGATGTGGCTCTGTGATGGTTTGGGGCGGAGTTAGTTTGGACGAGCGCACAGATCTCGTCGTTGTTCCCGGGCGCTTGTGTGCTCAAACTTACATTGAAAATGTGCTCGAAGATCATGTTTGGCCCGCAGCATATGGTATGGGCCCAGATTTTCTTTTAATGCAAGATAATGCCAGGCCGCATACTGCAGCCATCACGTCAGATTACTTACGATAGCAGGAAATCCGTGTAATGGAGTGGCCTTCCATGAGCCCTGACCTAAATCCAATTGAACACATTTGGGACTTGCTTGACAGGCGCATCCGGAAGCGTCCGATTGCACCTCAAACACTGCAGCAGCTCACTGAAGCGTTGATTGAAGAATGGGAGCGAATTCCACAAGAAGATATTCGGAGGATCATACGAAGCATGCCGCGTCGTTGTCAAGCCGTGATTAGGGCTCATGGAGGCCACACACGTTACTGAAAGTCACTAAAGACGAATATTCAAACGATATAAGAATATTTCTTTGATGGACCTTTTTTATCACCAATTAGTTTTTCGTCTACAATGCACATTTTAATTTTTTTTTTAATAAAAAAAATACAAATTGAATTTTTTTATTAATTGTAGTAATTAACAAATTAACAAGGTAAAAAATAGCGTACAAGTTAATTTAAATCTAATTTTAGTTTAAGCAATAGAAAGGAGTAAAATCTTGTTCCGCTAATTGTTTTGAGCAGTATATATTAACGTAAAAAAATATATATAACAAGATCATACTTAAAGTAAAGGATAGCTAATAATGGACTAAACAAAATACCATCTGTGCGATGACCCCGTCTCTTGGGTCACATATGGTTAAGAGATCAGATTCTTTACATTCAAAACGTTGAAGGAACAGGCATACCACTGTTCATTAATACAACTAGATCCTGACACAAAAAAGATTTGTAAATCGATTAACAAGAGAATATTTTGTTATTAAGTTTACAAATTTAAGGCAGTTAAATCAATAAATAACTCTACTGTATGTTTGTGAGAAGTATAAACCGATATTGGAAGGAAATAAATTTCATTAGAGAACTTAAGAATTTCTTT